GTGGACAACGTTAATGACATTGACTGTATTTTTTAATATAATACTTTACTTATCTTTCTCAATCAGGGCCCCTTTCATCCAAACCCTGGCACTCCTTACGACAAACTTTCTAGGAGGACATTCCTTCCTGATAACGAAGAAGGCAGGRRAGTGTTAGATCTTCTCAAGAAAGCATTTGATGCTAGTATTCTCTTCACTGTTGGTAAATCTACGATCAATGACAAGGATAATCAAATCATATTCAACGGGGACATAGATCACAAGACTAATGTCAATGGTGGACCCAAAGTGTGAGTATCAAAAAGTTTGTTGTGTGTTGTTGTTGTATCATGGACGTAGACAAGGGGTGCCTCACTAGGACCCCTCAAAGTCCCCCATTATTTTCCGTTTGCTTTGAAAAGGTCCTRGAAACTATGCAAGTGAAGATATGGCTGTAGTACAGATCTAGAGTAAATATGGTCCCCAACCAGCTGTATGAATTTCATTGCTATTTCATTTCGCATTGTTATCAGCCTTAAATGGAAGGAATACACTGCTAGCTTCCCATGCTTTATTATTCATGTACTTTTTTATTAMAACGTACTTTTAAAAACGTGCTAATTATCTKGACATTTGAACCTAATAAGGACCACTACTTTGATACCCCAAGGATTCCCTACGTGTACAAGCAAGCTCTACCTCATATTCTTCTGTATTTTYTCTAACCATTTTCTTTCTTTGAATAGAAGTGGTTATCCAGATCCAGATTACCTCGACMGAGTAAAGAAACAGCTAAACGCCAAGGGAATCGAGTCAATAAGTCAAAGGCCACCAAGCATTTAAATTGTTATCGTATCTTTCAAAGGATGTTTTTCAAAATCAGTGGTAAACACATGCATATTATACACCAACACCATTGAAAGACGTTTCCACATATAGTTTGTATATATGTTATGCGAGTGATAGTCAAATATCTTGGGCCTGTCTTGGAGTCTTGTTCCTCTAAAGCAACTGGTTAGCACATCCACTTTTTACGATCAACGGCAACAGCGAGAACAGTTGTATAAAAATATGTCCATTTTGGTTATAAAATGCATGCCTTTAAAGTGGATTTTACCAAAATTCAGAGCCAGTCATTTAATCTAAAAAGCATAGTTTCGGCCATTTCACACTAGGAGTATATTCGAAAATAACGCACGCAAAGCGTCTTTCTCTGGATTATAGAGCGCCTTGGCCAGCCGCAGATTGCTTTCTTGTATCTATAAWTSAATGAAATAATCGAAAACCGCACGGCTTTATCTAGTTGGATAGATTGAGTTCAAAAACAGRGTTCATTATATAAGGCAATAATGGACCGTTCGATGTTTTATGGTTCTTTCCCATAAGAATTATCATTTGTTKAATAACCAGCCCCGACGTGATGCCATTGTTGATAATTGCACAGATCCGTGATTTAGGAACAATGGATTTGGATTTTGTAATGGTTTGATTTGAATGTCGCCGGGACAGGTCTTTATTTTTGAAATATAGAACTGAACCGGGACATTATTGAGGATAACAACCGCATTACAATATGGGATTGGGGTGTGGCTGGTTATTAAAGCTTGAAAGATTTAATAATAAGTTCACAGTGTTACTATAGAGGCTTTGCACCATCACATGATGGCAGCCATGACAGGGGGCAGGAACAATTGAATCTGGTCTAATCTGATTTATATTAGAAAGGATTCAGTTTCCCAGGGGGAAAAGACTCTATTGTTATGCCCCCTGTCATGGCTGCCATCACGTGATGGTGCAAAGCTTGTATTATAAAAGATTGTTTTTTTTTCACTTCTACTTATAAGTTGCCATCACATATTGAATAACCACTAGAGAGCGACCTAGCTTATGTCTCTTTAATTCTGAGTAACGAAGCTGAAAGCCACTGCATATTTGTGACATTTTGTTAGTGTTTGTATATAAGTACTGTTCTTT